GCACAGGCTCCCCACCCCATCATAAGCCTCCATAACAAATCCTGAGACTCAGGACACCAGAGCTTTTACCAACCTAACACGATCACTTCACTATAAACCATAACATACAGTCCAAAATTTAGAAGGCTCTGGACCACGCATCTCTGCACAGGTCAATGTGTTCAGACAGGGAGCCGCCTACAGTGGCGGTGCCTTCATGCTCTTTGGGCAGCCAAGGTGAGCCTGCCAAGAGCAGGCAGCTGTCCTCCAGGGTGCTGGCCACTTCGAGGCCCATGACCCTGATCAGAGGTGGCTGGAGCAGCACCTGCAGCAAGGCGTCCTGCACAGGCCTCCCTGACGCCCTGCTGGGGATGTTTCATCTCTTCTCCCAGGCTCTAGAGCCAGACCCTCACGCTCGTCTTCTGGGCCATAGGTGGGACCTGGGACCTGGGGACATGACAGTACCTACCTCACAAAGGTGGCTGTCAGGCTTGCACAAGCGAACGCCCCAGAGTGCCAGGACAGTAAATGCTAAACTCTGCCTGTCACAATGGGCCCTGTCCAGCCCTCCCTTCCAGGCTGCCTGGGCACTCTGACGTCTGGAACCATTCCTGCAGCAGTATCATGCACCTAGTACCGGCCAGACATGGAACTGACCCGGCCAAGTCTTTAATGTTCTCAAGTCTTGGTTTCACATCTGCTACACAGGTGAACAGGTAAAAAAAAATGACAGGCCGAGCTGATCACCACCGGGACAGCCCAGTGATGACCGAGTGGGATCAATTACTGATACCAGGCAACATCTGTACACCTCCCTAAAGGGCCTGAAATGCCACGGGTCACCTCATTCATCTTCCTGCGCCCCGAGCCTCCCACAGTCCTGAAACACTGGCGGGACTCAAATGCTCGTCGTTCTGAATTGACACATCGTGCCTACATCTTTCATCCATGCCTCCAAAAACTGCAGAAACAGCACAGTCACTCGGGTCAAAACACTGTCAAGTATACGGACTGGGGTACTGCAGCCCTTTCGGTTACACCCTAACTTTCGGATCTTTCAAAGTCCCAAAGCTTTTCACAAGACGTCAGCTTCCCAGAACTGCTCGGGAGCCACTTTTCCCGACGGTTCATCGTTCCGGGGTAAGCGCCGCGTCCCCGCACTTCCGCCAGCACACCTCCCGTTTGCGTCCCTGCAGAGCGAAGCCGGGGGAGCCTCCCGAGAGTTAAGTGTCGGCGCTGCCACAGAGGACGCCAGCAGACCGAGGCCCCGACCGCTAACAAAAGGACGCCAACTTTTCTCCGCAGCGCGCCGGTGCAAAGCAACTTGGGTCGGCGTCGCTCCCACCCGGACGGCGACTCTGCCCTGACAGCCCCGGCACCGAAACGCTTTGTCTGCGGAGAGACGCGCCAGGACCGGCCAACTTCGCCGGCGGCGGCGCCACCACGCCAGGAACAAAGTGAAAGGTCACGGGGGCCGCGGAGGCCGGGCAGGGCCAGCGGCGCGCCCCTCGTCCCCAAAGTTCGCCGCTGCCCCGACTTTCCCTTTTGTCTGCCCGCCTCCC